TTTCAAGGTAGATAATTTTGGCCGTGTTTTACAGATGATAAAAACAGACTATAAGAGGTTACATAACTTGGTTGAGTTCATGCAGCAAATAAGTGGTAAAGCTTAGACTCAAATATGCCTTTAGAACCTATATTTTATCCACTGATTATTTAAAGGCATAATGTACAGAGTGACTAAGCACAATTATAGGAGACTTGTAATCAATGGTGATCATATGCACATTTATTGTTAGGCAAATCCAGGTGTGACTCTAATGGGCAAAGTACAGAGATCACTCTTTCGTCCCTCCTAATCTTACATGCTATGTCTGTGAGAACTGAAAGCTTTAGAAATGCCGCATCTGGGTTTGAACATGTTCATTAGAATTATTTTCATGCTCTTACCTGTCGCTTGGGAAGGGTTGTTTTTGTTCTTAATAAATAACCGACACACCTTTTGGTTTTGAGTTATTTGGAAAGGGTCTAGATGAGGGCTGTTTGTTCCCTAGGGTAAAATCATCCTTTTTGACCTAGGCCTTGCCAGCTGCTGCATCTATTTGCTATTAGCTGCGAAACTCTGCAGTCATTCATGGATTTCTGGTTCTGTAAAACTGCGAGTACATTTATGTAGACAACAGCTGATTTGTTCAAAGATTGGACCCAATCTTTCTGGGCAGAGGGAGATTCATCTATTTATTCACTTGGTTGTGTATTAATTTCCTGCCTATTTTCACATGTGATTTTATTTAGTTTATAATAAAAACTTTAACTTAGGATAGGTACAAGTTATGGATTGAACATGGAAACTTTAGTGAATTTTTCATGATTAAAAAAATTATAATGTTACTTAGCATTTACTGTTTGCATAGTATGAACTGGGCACTGTTCTCATGGATTACATCAGTCTTGCCTCAAAACAACAGCTAAAGGTAGGAATACAATTATTAGGCTCATTTTATTCTAAAGGAAGTTGAGCTTAAGGAAGGTGGGTAAAATGAAAGGTCTTGCCTTGTGTTCGCCTCTAGGGAGAGACTATTAGCCGATCAAGTGCAATAGATTCAGTATCTCTCCCCCTGTAAAGCAGCACAAAAGTGGCCAAGAAAAAAAATCCTGTGTTTTTTTTTTTTTAACCTTCTTTCAAGGTGTGAAATTGGATATCTATCTGCTTGAATCATCTCTGTTCATGCTGGTTAATCTGAGATGGGAAGTTTTAACTATGTCTACTTTTTCCCCTAACAAGAATATGGCAACTCAACATTTTTCCAGTGAGGTGTGAATAAATAATTCCTGCTTATATAATCAGCAACCTCTCAGCATTAACTGAGGCATCATTAGATACTTCCTTTTAAGATCAGTTATGAAAACCCACTGTGAAAGTGGAACTTATTTTGGCATAACCCTTAGTTTATATTAACTAAGACTGTAAGTTGGATCTATTCACTCATTAAGCATACATGAAGCACCTGTTTTAGACCAGGCTGTACTAGCCTCTACGCCTTCAAATGGAAGAATGAGACAACACAGGTACATACTTTCCCACAGTAAAAGTTATGTGTGTTTTGGGGTGAACGGAACAGCGATAAACATTTCGTGATGAGTGTTACGCTAAAAACATGTGCTGAATGTAACTGGAGCACAAGATCCATTATGGTCCTGAAAGGTTATGGTTTTATTAAAAGGATTATTCCAAAAGTAATATTCTCTTACTGTTCTACATACATTTTGATGACGTTTGTTGTTTGTTTGGGTGAGGGAGGTGGCAAAGTAGAGTAGTAATTTTATTTTGACAGCAAATCCCAGGAGGTCAGGAACCTTGGTCTGTTTCTTTTCTCCTAGTAAATACTTTTTGAATAAAAAAATTAATGTCAATGTAAAAGCTATTGGTCTATGATAGTAAAGGAACAGTTGATTATGATTCATATTCATGAGCCAGGATTTTTTTTTTTTTTTTTTTTTGAGACGGAGTCTCGCGCTGTGTCACCCAGGCTGGAGTGCAGTGGCCGGATCTCAGCTCACTGCAAGCTCCGCCTCCCAGGTTCACGCCATTCTCCTGCCTCAGCCTCCGAGTAGCTGGGACTACAGGCGCCCGCCACCACGCCCGGCTAGTTTTTTGTATTTTTAGTAGACCGGGTTAGCCAGGATGGTCTCGATCTCCTGACCTCGTGATCCACCCGCCTCGGCCTCCCAAAGTGCTGGGATTACAGGCTTGAGCCACCGCGCCCGGCCAGAGCCAGGAATTTTTATATATGGAAGTTTCCTTACAAATTTGTAAGTTGTTAGCATAGCAGGGTGGTTTGTGACTTATTTCTATTAATTGCTCACTTATTTGTCTCCCTTATTTCTATAGGCACAAAACAAGGACTTTGTATTACAGAAAACTTAGCCTCAGTGGGCTTATGATTTCTTAACTAGTAACCATTTAGTTGTAATATACAGAAACTTAAACTAGCTCACATAATAAGGATTGTTGAAACCATATGCCAGGAGAAATGATAGCCATCTAAGCACAAAAAAAATTATAGGTAAAACCTAACCTCATGGGGACTTGACTTAGGACGTCAGGAAATGTGGCTGCCCCTCAACTTTTACCCTATTTTCAATTCTTCATTTCTCATGTGGATCAGGCGTAAGGATGTATGTAATCTTAACTCTGGTTTTCTCTAAAGTCTTATTTTTTCTGGTTCTCTCAAGACTGGCTTCTTTAACAATAATTCCAACTTTACATGCCTCAAACTCTCAAGTGTTGCAATTCAAAATCTCTGAGAGAGCATCTTGTTGACTTAATATGGGTCAAGTGTTAATTGATGGATCAATAGCTGTAGCCTATTAGGTTGAATCACATAGACCATAGGGCTGTTCTTTTCAGGAGCACCAGGTGGGATGCATTCTTTACAAAGGAGATATCGTTTCAGAGGCCTTCTTGGGGTCAGTCCCATATATTCCTCCTCACTCTTCTTACCTTTCCATCCTGCTTTCTATTCTCTTTGACATTGCTCTTTGCTCCGTCGTAGCTAACTGACCTGATAAATGCATTCATGATATGTTAACTCACCCAACAGATAAGTTCTTTTGGCCAGGATTCCCCCTGGATGCAATTAAAAAAATCAAAGGAGTGAATTTAATAATGTTTTCTATAATGGGCAAGTATTTGGGAGCATATGGTTTCTTCTGGTGATGATAGTGCTTTCTGTGTGTACAGTCGCCATTTATGAGACTATCCATAATGTATGAGAATCTCTTGCCAATGTTACTACTACTAGTAGATACTGTATCTAGTGGCTAAACTGAATAGCTAGTCTGCACTATGTAACTTAATTATTAATTTGAGGATTGAAATAATTCTTTGAGGATGAATACTGTTATTGTCCCCACTTTAAAAGTAGAACTGAGGATTATATCAATTAAAGAATTGCTCAAGATCACGATTAGTAAAAAATTGAACCAATATCCCATCCCAAGAAATTTTTCCCAGAGCTTATGCTCTCAAACAAGAGGAACATAATTATTTTAATGAATAAAATTATAACTTAAATTTTCGTTTCAAGTATTATTCCACTGGACAGGGTAAATGTAATCTCCACCTTCTTTCTGTGAAGGGGAAAAAATATATATGACAAATTTTTAGTAATATTGGAAAAAATGAAAAAAATTGACAAATGTCTGTAGGATTATTACAATTTTAATTGTTATTGATAGGTGGGCTGGAGTTGCAAATGATGCCAATAGCTGTAAATAGAGCTTTAGTTTTACATCAGTTGCTGTCCTTAATATAAGAAAGATATGTGTTTAGATACATACTAAACTTTTGTAGCCAGCTCATATATATACAGCTGGTAACTGACCATATTAAAACCAAACAGATGGTGATGTATTTGTGATTCAGAATTAATGTGAATATATAATTTTTCATAATCCATAGGAAACATTTTCTTACACACGTCATCATTTATGGAATTTTACTTGTTTTAGGGGTATATGAGAAAGGTCAGGGATAATTTTATATTTCTGAATATATTAGCAATATGAAGAATATCTGTTTAGTCCCTACCTTCTGGTTGTTATTGATATTATCCTGAGAGTAAAGATAGTCAGGCATTTAATATAGAGGTGAATTATTTTGCAATTCAGCCAGAGAAGGCATACACTTAATAAAAGATGATGTATTTATGGCTAATCAAGAAAATATAACATTTTTATCCCAATCAATTATGGTATATTTAAGAATAAGCCAGAGTAGAATTGTACGATTAAAGATATTTCTGATTAGCTAATCTATATTATATATATCTACATAAAATTGGATTTTCAGTTATTAAAACTACAAGACAGTTATTTTACAAAGAAGTGATCTACAGCACAAACTTGGTTAGAGGATACACATATGAATAAACATGAAAATATAAATATATACTATTATTCTAGGTAAAAGTAAGTGTGTGTGTATATATATATATATATAATTTTTTTAGGGAAAATAATAGTTCTTCAGGAAAAATTCTGAGACAAAAATTATTTCACAATTAAAGTTTAAGTTGGTAGCTTTAAGAGAGTGTACAATTTACGTGAAGAGTGTTTGTTTTTGTTAGGTACCCTCATTTTATGTATTCATATACCTAACAAAAATTATAAGACATCTCCATTTATTGCTCAATTTTTATTATTTTAAAATCCTTTTAATGTACCCTCTTAAGAAATTGTCTCTTTTATGGAGTCTGAATGCCATAAAATATTGCAGGCTTCTAGAGCCATCATACTAACAAGGGAAAGATAGAGTGGTGATGGTTTTGTCAAAAGTCACTCAGCTCATAGGAGGCAAGGCGGAGAATGGATCCTGGATCTTAATCTACACAATTCTATTAAGCTGGAAATCCATACCAAATGTATTTAATTTTTACTTCCTCCTAATCCAATATAATTTAATTTTAGAAAGAGAAGATTACAGGTAAGCATCTCCTACACATAAGCCGATCTATACTTGGAAAAAACCATATTTATTTGTGTATTTTTCTCTTTTTATTCTAGAAATCACTGACATAGAGTAACTCCACAGCATGTGTCTCCAAGAGTTTCCCTAAAAGGTAAGCTTCCCACAAGGGAAGATTTTCCTTATGTGTAGTTCACCTTAATTAGCATCCTTAGTTTCTATGGAAACATTGAAAACCTTCCCTTACAGAGTGATAGCATGAGATTGTTTTTGATGTTTTTATGAATGTTGAAATTAATGAAAGTAGTGAAGTTACATAAATTAAAGCCTGAAACTAAGAAATAGAGACTATTTCCATTTCTCTCTGGAGAAGATACTTGAGGTAGGTTTTCTGTACTTTAGATTAATTTGGTAATTCAAAAATGTTTGAATTTGTAATCATAGAAAGTGTATTGGGAATAAAGTAAAAGTTGTTGCACTTTTGTCAAATGGTTTTATAGGAGAGGATGTTTTAGCAGTCAAACCAACACAAGTATTAAGTTAATGCAGTCCTATAAATACTCAGGTCTTGAAGCTTTCGAAGGGATAAAACATGAGAAATGTAACTCACTGTCTACAATGTATGCAATTTTTTTCTATAGATCTAAAACAGTAAAATGGATATGTTTTACTTTCCTGACGCTGATCTAATAAAGTAATCGGTGGCTTAAAACAATGGAAATGTATTCTCTCACAGTTGTGGAATCTATAGGTTTGAAATGAAACTGTCGGCAGGAACATGCTCTCTTGAAGGCTCTTAAGGAGGAATCTTTCTTTCCTTCCTCTAGCTTCTGGTGGTTGCTGGCAATTTTTGGTGTTCCTTGGCTTTTAGATGCATCACTCAAATCTCTGCCTCTTTCTTCAATTCATGTGGTTGTCTCCCCTATGTGTGTCCAAATATTCTTCTTCTTAGGAAGATACCAGTCATTGAATTAGGGACCATGCTAATCCAATATGATCACAGCTTAACTTGATTTTTATCTGTAAAGACCCTTTTTAAAAAGTCACATTCACAGATTTTGGAGATTAGGGTTTCAACAGATCTTTTAGGGGCATCTAATTCACTCATAACAGTATCCCTTAAAAGAGAGTCTAGTGACATTAATTATTGTTAACAAGGTGTTTATGGGAAAAAAAAATCATAACATGGGGTGGAGGAAGGTGTCATTCCATTGGTATACATAAAATGCTGTTTATTTTAATGATATAATAATTATCTTTTGATGGCCAACTTTTCTCCCAAGCAGGATAAAACTTAAATATTCAGTACAGGCTTTGATAACATTGGGTAAAATATTAGTGTATAATTCTGATTCTCAGATTTTTAACACCCTCAATTAAAAAAAAAAATAGTAAGCCTGGACAACAGTGAGACCCTGTCTCTATGAGAAATAGAAAAATGTATCTGGATATGGTGGTGCATGCCTGTAGTCCCACTGCTGGGGAGGCTGAAGCGAGGGGATCGCTTGTGCCTGGGAGGTCAAGACTGCAACGAGTTCTTATTGCACCACTACACTGTAGCCTGGGTGACAGAGCAAGACCTTGTCATAAATAAATAAAAAATATATATATACACACATATATAAAATACATATTTATGACATATATGATATATATATTTATATATGTATTTATATATATAAATACATGTCATAAATATATGTATTATACACACACACATCTATATAAAGAGAGTGTGTCAGAAATTTATTTCACTTGATTCCTCAGATCTTTTTCATAAGCTAAGGTTGAGTAGGATATTTTTTAAACAATTTCCTATTCTGTAACAAACCATCCCAAAACTCAGTGGCTAAAAATAATAACTGTTTATTATTTCCTATGAGTCTGTGGGATCAGCTGCTTGAGTCTTCTTATCTGGAACAGACTCTGCAGTATTGACTGGGTATGTTCCTAGGTCTGAGCGCAGCTCTCAGGTCAGTGCAAGCTGTTCCACGAGGTCCCTGTCCTCCAGCAGAAACCAGGTTTCTCAAGGCAGCAACATTATTCCAAGACATTCTGAGTGTCCTCAAGCTTGTTTAGATGTGCTGTATTTTCCCTTGCTTTTACTTATTCTGTTCTTTCTCCTTGAATATTCTGGGTTTTTTTTTTTTCCATCTTTGATCAACTCTTTTTATTGCACTTGAAAATTTATTTTCTTTATGGAGACTTCTCTGGTTTCTTTTTATCCTATTCATTCATATATCTTTGTGTAGCTAAAGATATTGAACTCAAATGCCTGTCAGGGTGAGGTTTCCCTCTTGTGCCAACATCATTGTAAATAATATGATAATCACATTGTCCTGTAATTGCTGGCTTAATTATCTTACCTTCCCACTTTGGACTTCTGAAGCCAGGGATTGCATCTTCTCGTTCTTCATGGTATTCCAAGAACCTAGCAGTGCATGCACAGAGAATATCTTCCATAACTATCCATGGAAAGAAGGAAAGATTTAATGACATCTTCCCTATTCTAAATCCTCTCTTAAAATATAAGTTGTTGAACCTTTCCAGAGTGTGGACTGAAAGGCAGGAGGTAGGTTCCTTCCCATTTTGATGATGCCCCTTGGGCTCTACTCAGAGAGGGCCCAGGCACCCTCTGGTGCCGCCCTGGCCTTTCTTCCTCTACCACAGATTGTAAAAATTGTAGTCTGTGGGACAGAATATCCCCAAAACAGTTAATTTGGTTTACATATTAGCTCTTTTTAACGTAGTAATTTCAAAAATAAAAATGAAGTTTAACTTGTTGCCAGCACTTAAAAATTCAGAGATTTTACATAAAATGATGTTTTAAATTCTCTTAAAAGAAATGATAATAACTTTCTATCCTGGACAGTGCATTTCCAGAGGACAAAGAGGGCTTAGCTGAACAGTAGCAGCCTTCCAATGCCCTCTCCAGTTTGTCACACTATGTCATTTGTTATCTATCTAGCCCCAGTGGGCGCTTGAGTTCAATATCGTTAGCTACCCAAAGATACAGGGATTGATACAATGTGGAGGCTTAGCTTTGCTTCTAAATGTCTGAACAAGGAAGTGTCAGTGGCTGAATGGACCATTTAGTTATTCTTATTATATATCCATCACCTAAGTAGAAATAATTTTGGCTTTGTTTTCAAAGCTCTATGCTTGAATCCCTGCATCTAACATTTTAACAGATAACCTAACCTCTCTGACCCTCTTTTTTTACCCATCTGTAAAAAGGAGACTGTGATATTCTTCATAGGCTTGGGTCATGTTAGGTTACTTTATTAATGCCAGAAAATATAGTCTAACCTGCACACATAGGGAAAACAGAAGAAGATAGTTACATTCTTCTTTTTCTGAATTGGTACAAATAATTTTCATCTTTTGTTAAGGTACATTATCAATTAAAATACACTAGGAAAATGAACTACTGATATATGCAACAACTGGGATAAACCTTGAAAATATTATAAATAAAAGAAGCATGACACCAAAGGTCATATATTATGTGATTCCATGTTGATATGATTTGGCTGTGTCCCCACCCAAATCTCATCATGTGGTTCCCATAATCCCCACCTGTCATGGGAGGGACCCGGTGGGAGGTAAATGAATCAAGGGGGCAGTGACCCTCATGCTGTTCTTGTAATAGTGACTGAGTTCTCATGAGATCTGATAGTTTTAGAAGGGTCTTTCCCCCCACTTCACTCTCATTTTTCTTCCTGCTGCCATGTGAAGAAGAATGTGTTGGCTTCCCCTTCCACCATGATTTTAAGTTTCCCGAGGCCTCCCCAGTCATGCTGAAGTGTGAGTCAATTAAACCTCTTTCCTATATAAATCAGTCTCAGTTATGTCTATTTTAGCAGCATGAGAATGCACTAATATGCACGCATAGGAAATACCTAGAATAGGCAAAACTATGGAGACAGAAAGTAGATTAATAGTTTCCAGAAACTAAGGAGAGATGCAAGTGGGGAGTGATTGACTACTAATGGTCACAGGATTTATTTTGGGAGATGATGAAAATGTTTTGGAATTAAGGAGTAGTGATGCCTGCAAAACCTTGTGAATACACTAAAAACCACTGAATTGTGCAGTGAATGGTGAATTTTATGCATCTCAATAAAGTAATAGATAAGGAAATCTGTTTTAGGAAGACAAAATTTCATCTTCAGCTGAGGCAGGAGAATAGGATCTGGAGGCAGGGTAAACCTAAGGGCAATTTGCACTGACTTCCTAGAACTGAATCCAAAGGAAAACCTCACCTCCCGCAACCAGTTAACAAAAGGATTAGAGACTATTCCTTTTGCACGGCATTGCCCATGAAAAATGGAAAGTACTTCTTATTGATCCCCTCCTCCTGCAACCAGTCACACTGGTCAAGGGCCAAGTCTTCATGTGTAATAACTTTGTAATTTCACTTCAGCCTCTAATTGGCCCCCTCCTGCAACCAATCAGACATTTGTATAAGGTGTAACTTTGTAACTTCACTTCAGTCTCTGATTGGTCACTCTCTGCAACCAGTCAGACTGGCCATGGGTCACTCCTTCATTTACATAGCGTGTAACCAAGTAACCAATGGGAAACCTCTAGAGGGTAAACCCCAGAAAATTCTGTAACCAGTGCTCTTCAGCTACTTGCTCAAGATTGCTCCCACTATGTGGAGTACACTTTAATTTCAATGAATCTGTGCTTTCATTGCTTCATTCTTTTGTTGCTTTGTTTGTGTGTTCTGTCCAATTCTTTATTCAAAATGCCAAGAACCTAGACAATTCATAGTCAAGACCTTCCACTGGTAACATAGCTATGGTGACATTCTCAGTCTTTTTTGCATTGCTATAAAGGAATACTTGAGGCTGGGCTATTTATAAGGGAAGAGGTTTATTTGGTTCATGGTTCTTCCGGCTGTACAAGAAGCATGGCACCAGCAACTGCTGGTAAAAGGAAACTTCCAATTATGACAGAGGGAAAAGGGGCAGCAGGCACGCCACAAGGTCAGAGAGGGAGCAAGAGAGAGAAGAGAGAGGCCAATCTCTTTTAAACAAATAGCTTTTGCACGAACTAATACAGCAGGAATTTACTCATTACCCATGGAAAGGCACTGAGTCATTCATGAACAGTCTTCCTCCATGGCCCAAACACCTCCCACTAGGC